CGAATATCACAACATCCCTACACACCTGACACTTCGATTTCACAATTTTCCCAAAGTTTGCCAACGCCTTATCGTCTCAGCTGCTGATATTACCATTCCCCAACTTCCTCGGCAACGTTCCCCTTCCACCCCGCGTACCCCGCCAGTCAGATTCTTGGATTGGGTGTGGGCCTGATAGTTTTTTGCCTACAAAGGAAATAATCCTAGGGAAAACTTCGTTGAACTTGTTGCTTTGAGCTTTGCCTGACGACAATGTAAGGAGTAAATACAAAGCCTGCGTATCAGTCCTATAGCATTCGTGGTTCTCATTATTTGCGTACTTGAGAACAGTGTTTGTTTTGGTTTTTTCTTTGTGGTTTTTTGTCTGGGTTTTTGTTTTGTTTAGTTTTGGCCCGTAGAAAGCAGGGAAGGCCAAACACGGACATTCACAGCATGCCTGAATTATATATATATATATTTTTTCCTTTTCTCGCCTGAATTATATACAAATATGAATGTTCTACCTTTAAGATGTTTTAGATACCGTACTTTTTGGGGCCCAGTGCAGCCGAATTCAAGTATATTCGGACGTGACTTTCAAAATAAGACTCGCGTTTGTCTTTCTTGATCGCAAATCGCATCGGTCGTATTGTGTGACAACAATGATAGCTTTTCGCCCATCCATGAAGGAAAATCCGAATGACCTGGACCCAATCCAATAACTCCGATGTCAGTGTGCACTGGATCAAGGTGTCTGTAAGGGAGCGAACTCTGTGACCGGAGCTTTCCTTTGTCAACATTTCTCCGTACACGCCACCCGTGAGCAGCTGTGAGCACCGGTCTGTGAGCAGAGAGTCAGTGAGATGTTTTCCTCACCCGGCATGGCTGTAGATTCCTGAACAGCTTGGGTGGGCTCCGCATGCCATCTTAGAACAACCCGCTCCCTTCACAGTTTCAAAATGTGCCAAAAGAAACGTGAAATAGTCATACAAATCTCTCACAAGACTAGGAAACAGCCAAAGAAGTTTTCCATTCAACCCCAAAATTGCTAAAATGTTCTGTTTTTGAGTTTCGCGTTCAATTTGAGCCAGATGTTTGTTTTTCAGTCTGAGGACAGGACATGACGCTTGGTGGAGCCACTTTCTAGAAATGACATTTGCTCAGTCATACACGACGTGCATGCTTCAAACCTAGCAACTCTCATAGTAGAATGGTCAACCTTAGAATTACAACGGTTTGTCAAGGACTTTAAAAAAACCGTTTTTAGTTATTAGGACATTGAGAACAATAACCAAATGTTCCATCTGCTTTATCAAATAAATGGTAAGACAGTTTGGAATCGTTATCAAGATATTCCAAGAATTGCATTAACAAAACTTGACATGTTGTGAAACTTACAATTGTTCATGTCAAATTTCTCCACAGTAGGTACTGAACACATTGAACTTTGTGAGTCCTGGGTACAGAATTGCTGCAGGATGCTACAGGAGAGAGTCTCACTGTCAAGGTCAATGGACTCGGTGCTTTGCCCGCCAAAATACACCCAGGAGTAAGAAAGCAGGTAGAGCAATGCCTCGCCCTATCGCGGTTCTCATTGGGCGCATTCGGTACGTTCTTGTTTTGTTTTGGGTTTTTTGTGGTTTTTCTAGGGAGGAGAACAAGAAATAAACCCCCAAAGGAAGCAATTTTGACAGGCGCGGTTCGTCCATAGAGCACGGTCGTGCAGTGCCTCCCACATTTTTTCAATATTCTATTACGTTAAACACCCACAAAAATAAAATAAAAGAAGCCAGAAACAAACATTGGCTTAGTATTATATGAAAACAAGGTCCTCACTGGCGCCATAACTGTCATTTCTCTATATTGCCGTAAAACATCTACTATGCCATGCCAAAGTCCACGCGCTTTAGCTAAACAGAAAAGAATATTCAACAGTGGTAACCTGACCTATAAATCACTTTTGGGGATAACCCAAGCGATGACGACACTCGTAGCGAGTTTGGCGGTACATTAATATTAATAAGACGGCACATCTCAAATGTGCTCCTGCCGAATAGTGCCGAAAAATAGTCCACAGTAGGAAGTCTAAAAATAAACACGATAGACCCTACGCTATTCTTGCCAATAGTATGTGAGCCCCGGAGCAATCCAGCGGAGTGCTCAAGTGAATTGTGATTGGTTCATTGTTTGTCTTGCCACTACTTTAAGTGACTCTGTGACCGTGAACCTGAGGGAGGTATACGTGACCGCCCTAGGAGTTGTGCCTTTGAATGGTTTTGTAGTGGAGTAGTGAAAGTTATTACATACACTTGAGTGTTCAGTTCCAATACAGGATGAACGAAATTGATGTTTAGCTAACAAACAAATTTAGTTCTAGAAATCAAAGCGACAAGTAAAAAGAATGAAAATAGTTATTGAGACATTGAGAATAAAAACCAAATGTTCCATCTACTTTATCAAAATGGTAAGACAGTTTGGAATCGTTATCAAGATATTCCAAGAATTGCATTAACAAAACTTGACATGTTGTGAAACTTACAATTGTTCACGTCCAATTTCTCCACAGTAGGTACTGAACAGACAGCACGAGGCCCTCCCTCACCAACCCAAAGATCCTAAAATTATACACCGTCTCATTTGCTATCTATGTCCTTGACTATAATTCAGCATGCAATAGCATAATTATTATTGTGCACGCCCACTTTTTAGCCCCACGAGCCGCCCCTGAATTTTGCCATCCTATTGGCTGAAACGCAACCAATCGCAACTCGCTAAAATGGAAAACAAATTGTAAACAAATGTCGTAAATATTTGGAATGTTTTCCTTTCTCAACACCGTTGGTTTTTCACGCGCCAAGTGTAGAGGAGGGGTGGGAGAGGAGGGGGGAG